CTCAATGTGATGGAAAATAACCATTGTCAATGCCATTTTTTTTTGCTTCTTCTGGGTGCCCCATGCGGGTACAGGGACCCAAGGACCTGGTCCATCCTCTACTGCTTTCCCAGGCCATAGCAGAGAGCTGGATCGGAAGTGGAGCAGCTGAGATGAACCGGCACCCATATGGGATGCCAGCACTGCAGGCGGTTACTTTACCTGCTATATCACAGTGCCGGCCCCATAAAGACTTATTAAATAGTGCATAAAGTATACTAACCATAGAAGGGAAAATAGACAAAATGAACTACATTAAAATAAGTAATTTCAGCTCATTACAAGATGCCATTAAGAAAATGAGGAGCATGGGTGGGAGGGAGAATAGGGTGGTAAGTATCACTATGTTCCTAAATCTGTGTATGTGAAATACATTAAGCTTGTGTATCTTAAAATAATAAAAAAGAAAAAACTTACTATGGATACTGTAGGAAATGTATGGGAATCTCTATGTGACCACTGCAATTTTTCTGACATTCTAAATCTACACCAAAATAAATTATTAAAATATGTAAAAGAAAAGTGAGCTCTATAGGTTGGAAGATGCTGCAATACTAATACTCAACAACTACTTATGTGTAGAGTATGTATAGAATGTATACAAATCAATTTGGAAAAGTAGGTTGTCCAATGGAAATATGTGGGGACAGGCATGGGTGCAGTAGTTAGGATGCTACTTGGGATGCCTGCGTCTCAGATCAGAGTGCCTGTGTTCAAGTCTGCTTCTCATGCCACACTCATGCTCCTGCAGACACTTGGAGGCAGTGAGTGATGGCTCAAGTGGTTGCGTACCTGCCACCCATTTGGGAGACTGAGTTATGGGCCCTTGGATTTGTTCTGGAACAGTTCTGGCTGTGGCAGGCGTTCGGGGAGTGAATCAAAAAATTGAAGATCTCTTTATTTGTTTGTTTCTCTACTGTTCAAATAAATGAAAATAAATAAAAGTTGCTTAAAATACAAATATGTGAAATAGACTTGAGTAAGTGCTTCACAAAAGAGCAAGTTGGTAGCCTTGTTTGGGGGTAGTTTTGGGAAGGGAGTGCAAGGAGGTTGTGAGATTCTGGTAACAATGTTGGTTACTTGCGTGTATTTATGTTGTGAAAACCCTTCAGATTATGAGCTGTGGATTTTTCCATGGCAGGTATGTTCTACTTTCATTGAGAGAATTTACATAAAATAAAATGCCTTGTGCAGGATGAGGAATGCAAATAAAATATTTTCAGGGTTTACCACTGACTGTAAAATATATCTCATCATTTAGTGTTGCCTCTCCTATGGAAGCAGAAGAAGTGTTGAGAGTGTGGGGCTTGCTTGCCAGGTAGCACGAGCAGGTCCAGTTAATGAAATAGACCTACACAGGGAGTGGCAGTATCTTCAGTTTGCATAGGCCTGTGTCCACCAATTCTCCTGAGAAGGAAGGAAAGAAACAAAAATGACTGTGGAGGAAGCACCAGAAACAAGCTTGATGACAGTTTTATGTATGGCTAACTGGGCCTGTGATTCTGCTTAAGCTGCCACTTATTGGTCACCTTTATCACTGCCTGAGAACTATGATATAGAGCTTTCTGTGCATTAAAAAATTTAAATCCTCATGACTTTTAGCCTAGCAGTTAAGCTTCCTGCATCTCACATAGGAATGCCTGGGTTCAGTTCCTGGATCTGCTCCTGATTCCATACCCTGGGAAGCAGCAGGAGATGGCTCAAGTAGTTGGGTCCCTACCACTGGCATGGAATATCTGGATTAAGTGCCTGGCTCCTTGTATGACCCCAGCCACTGTGGGCATTTGGGGAGTGAGCTAGAAGTTTGAAGCACTTGCACATATTCTCTCTCTCTCTCTCTCACTCTCACTCTCTTGCTCTCTCTCAAATAAATTTTAAAACAATTTTAAAATGGGTTTAGTAAAGCAACCTAATAGACTTGTTAAGGCAGTGGGATTTTGAATCCTACAGTCACGGGTTCTGGTCGCAGATTGCTGTTACTTCCTACCCAGAATTTGAACAAGTTATCTAATGTCTCTAAGCATCAGTTTCTTCACCTGTGAATTTGGATAAATAATTGCACTGATATGATTTGGATATTAGTTTGAGTGACCTACAAGGGCCTCTGTGTTAAAGGCTTGGTGCCTAAGGTGGTGCTATTGGGAAATTATAGAATCTTCAGGAGATGAGACTTAGTAGGGTATGCCCTTAGAAGGTAGTTCTTGTAAGAGGATTGTTATAAAACCAGAATTTGGGTCCAGTCTTTCTCTCCGTTTCGTGGCTTGTCATGTGATACTTCTGTGCACATGCTCTGCCTTTCACCATGGGCACCTCGCTGCCAAGTCTGTGCCATACCATTTGGACCTTGAAACTCTGTTTCCTTCACGAATAGCTTATCTCAGGTATTTTATTACAGTGACTAAAAGCTGTCTGATGAAGTGCATACCTCCCAAGGTCATACAGTCCAACTTTGTTTGAGTGTAATGAAAAGAAAAATACTACTTGATATCTTATATACGATGTTCAGATGATGATCAGAAGAACTTTTCAAGCCAATTTTGAAGTCTGAGGTTTGCAGCACTGTAGGGTTTTTTTTTTTTTAATTTGACAGGTAGAGTTATAGACAGAGAGAAAGGTCTTCCTTCCGTTGGTTCACCCCCCAAATGGCTGCAATGCCTGGCGCTGCACCAATCCGAAGCCAGGAGCCAGGTGCTTCTCCTGGTCTCCCATGCAGGTGCAGGGCCCAAGCACCTGGGCCATCCTCCACTGCCCTCCCAGGCCACAGCAGAGAGCTGGACTGGAAGAGGGGCAACCGGGACTAGAACCCGGCGCCCATATGGGATGCCGGTGCCACAGGTGGAGGATTAACCAGGTGAGCTATGGCACTGGCCCCAGCACTGTAGGTTTTATGAACTGGAATCTTCCTTTTCTATTGTATCGTAGTAAGAAATACCTTGATTGGCAGGGGGGGAAGGATTGAGAAATCCTCCAAGAAACAACACAGGTTATGATGGGAATGCCCCTGTAGGAGTGCTCCATAGCCCTTTTCAATGCTTTCTGGTCTTTTAAACAACCTGAGTAATTGCCTGTAATAGGCAGGCTTTGTTTTCTGCTCATTAATGACTCTCCAAGATAGATTTTATTCCTCTTACCACTAATTCATATGCAGAGAGAAATGAGCTGGATGCCGCCAGCTGATTGCCACACCACTGTCTGCATATCAATGCTCTCCTGCCTGGTTGGCTATGGGAAGTAGGAAAAGAGAAGGGAAGGAAGAGAGTACCAAGGAACCTATGGTAGTTCAGTATGTCTTTAAAGCCAATTCTGGTTCAAACCCCAGAATGTTGTACAAATGTTGATGTTTGTGCAAGGTTAGTGTTTTGGGGTTGCTCTACTTAGCAGTCCCATGTCCTCTTGTCACCTTTTTGTGACACACAGCGTGCCTCAAGAGCATACACAGGTACATAGCTGATGCTTTTAGTTCTTTTGCTCCTGTGGCTTGCTTTTGGTCCCCAGGGCATTCATGTTTGCGGCCTGTGGCGTGTTCATAGCATGAGAACATCATCAGAGTCCTAAGTGAAATGGGAGTATTTACCTCCAAATGTGTTTCCCTAGCTGTCACGTGGCTGGAATGATTGTGTGGTCAGTTCCAGGTGGATAGGCACATGATCTGATTTAAATAGAAACACATGTAGGTACAGTTTTAGAACTTTCTGTTTATTAAAAGAAAGCCCCTTTCTTTATCCTTGGGGCTAGTGATCTTGCTTTTATTGCTATTATGGTACATAAGAAAGACATACCAAACAAGCTAAAATAATTGAAAACACCCACGTCGAACTCAGTTTATTTTACTGAAATCCATCTTGCGGTATGGGCTTGTTTTATGTGCAGATGCTTATGAAAAAGCTGGACAGGGGCTCTGGGTTTCATTTTTTAACATGTGGAACTGCTGGCCGAGCAGTTGATTACCCTTTGGGGAATATGTAATTATTTATTAATTTGATTAGCATCATACATTGTGTGTTGGAACGATTCAGAATCCTGTAGGAACATCTGCTGTCCTGTGCTTTTGGAGGCTGCTAGCTTGTTTCCCAGAAGCCTTGACAGCTGCACGTTGACATAGTTGGTGACGGCAGTGCCATGATGCTGCAGTCACCATTGGGAGTTTTTGTTTTGGCTTCATTTTGGTAAGTTGATACTTTAAAGGACATTCAAGGCGTTTTTTGTGAAGGCATGTTTTCATTGAGTCCTGGCTTTCCTCTCTCTTGATTTAATGAAATAGTGACAGCTGTCATTTTCTACCTTCATACAGTATCATTAGTGATTTTATAAAAACAGAAAATCATATGCCAGGTGGGCCTGGCATCCATTTTACACACAGCTTCCTGTGAATGGGCAGGACTTGGCATAGGTAAAAGGACAAGTTTTTAGGCAATTCGGGCAGGCTTTCAAATCTTGCCTCTCCTTTTTCTCTCCCATGTCCACAGCGTGTTTATGCAACATTGACTAAAACTTCTAATGGGAAATTCCTTCCAGGTGAGCTCCCTGAGAGACTGGCCTGTGAAGAAACCTGCAGAAATCTGACCCTGATGAAATTGCCTCCGTTGAGAATATTACTTGGTGCAAAAACAAGGGACAGAATTCAGTTATTTTTGGTTCTTGAAAAAATGAAATCTGTTTCCTTTTGTGTAGGTGGCAGAAGAAATTAACCCTTGTAGAAGGTCCAGGCTCAGTTGGAAATTGAGCTTTTGGTTTCCTTTGAATTAGGAGAGCCCTGGAGAGGAGAATGTTGAATTGTTTTGAACTTCAAGCAACTTAGAATCAGTTCTGCTGTCTGCATGTCTTTTTTATAGATGTGTCTTTTTCAGGGTTGTCTGTCTTTACATGGACGTTTTTGGACACTGGGCTGTGATTAACAAATGACCTCCAACGTGGTACAACGTGTAGGTTGATACTAATGAATCCTTTCTTAACCTTTTCAGCACTGTTGGAGAAGTCAATCAGTAGAAGGCGGGACACTGAAGCTGTACAAAAAGCCAAGATCCTTTATTCGTCCTGCATGAATGAGAGTGAGTAATAAAGAAAATAAACATTTAGTACCCTTATCTTTCATAATTCTATTAGTGTTTAAAGATATTATATAAGGGAAAAGAGAACTACTAAGAATTCTATTAAAATTTAAAGGTGGTGTTCCAGGGAAGCAGTGATTTTCAAAGACTACATTTTGATTAGTCTCCTCTGGAAGAAATAATGTTACTTCTATGTCTTAGATCCTTTGGATAGCAAAGAAATAGAAGCTTGGGCAGGGTTAGCCGAGCAAACTGCACTGGACCTGGTGCAGAAACCAGAATCCAGAGGCCAGGCCGCTCGTCTCAGCAAGAAGCTGGGAAGGAGTGCACTTGGGAGTGTTGATGTATTCCATAGCATCTACTGCGACCTAGAGAAGTCCAGATTCCCAGGTGCACCAGGCTCCTTTGTCAGCCTGGCAGTTATCTTTGTCGGGTACCTCTGACTTGTTTCAACATCTTGGGTCTGATTGGAGCTAGGTGAAATATTTACCATTTTACCTGCTTCTCGTTCTAAAGGCCGTCACAGGAAGAAGCCAACACCCGTGGGAAGTGTATTAACTGGTCTAGGAGTGTGGGTATTACTTGGTGAGATAGAAGAAGGCATTAAAAGCCAGAAATCTGAAATATTCTTTCACTTTTAGTGGGGAGTTGTGGGGAGCAGCTCAGACTAGACTAAGTTACTGGAATTAAGACTTATTCTATGCATCTGCTCTCCTCTGTGGGGAGCAGCTCGGACTAGACTGTTACTGGAATTAAGACTTATTCTATGCATCTGCTCTCCTACAATATGGCGCTGGGAGAGGAGAAAACAGCTTCTACCCAGCTGCCTCCAGTTCAACTAATAAACTGTAGGACTTGCTCCTGATTGGAGGAGAGCAGCGTACTCGGCGTGTGGGCAGCCGAGTTGGGATTGGCGGAGAAGGACTATAAAGGAGGAGAGAGACGGCATGCACCGGGAACATCTATGGGGAACATCTGAAGGAACACCTGTGCAGCCCCCGAGAAAGCCGGCCGGCGGTGTGCCGCTCCCCTGCGGAAGTGGGGAATGCGGCCAGGGGGAACTGCCCTTCCACGGAGGTGGAAGGGATAGTAGCCAACCCGGGAAGAACCAGCAGCAAACCCGGGGAGGGCCGAGCAGACGAAAGAACAGCGCAGGGTCCTGTGTCGTTCCTCCACGAAGAGGGGGAGCGACATAATGGTGCCGTGACTCGGATATGAAGCCTAGGCAGGGTCTTGTGTCGTTCCTCCACGAAGAGGGGGAGCGACAGGGAGTGTTTGCCTTTACTGAGCAATTTTCTTTAGTTTGGCTTGTCCCTTGGTCCCACCAAATATTGCTAGCCTGACAAACTTTGCTTATTGGTTGGGGTCAGAGTCATGAGCACGTCTTCTAGTGCAGGGATATCTAATCAGTTAGCTCTCTGGTCACTCTCCTGGCAAGAACCCAGGTTTAGACAGTGGCATTGAAGTGTAGGTAACAGGTAGTTTTTTCTCTGTGAGTCAAGGTCAGTTGACCCCCTCCTCTCTTACCCTTTCCTTAACAGGTGAAATTTTAAGTTGAACTCTCGTGGGAATTTTCTCTTGAAGATGCACTTAGGTTGCAGTTTGCATATCCAGCTTGCGATTCTAACTCTCCCTTCATATCTGCTCCCTTTCAGAAGCAATTGAAAAAGCAGATGCCAAGCCATTGCTGCACATCCTGCGGCATTCACCATTCCGCTGGCCTGTGCTCGAAGCTAACATTGGTCCTGAAGGGGTTTGGTCAGAGAGAAAGTTCAGCCTTCTGCAGGCACTTGCAACATTTCGTGGTCAATACAGTAATTCCGTGTTCATCCGTTTGTATGTGTCACCTGATGACAAGGCATCCAATGAACACATCTTAAAGGTATTGTCAGGATTTATTCCTCCTCTTCATTCAGTTCAAGATTAGCCTTTTTGGGGTGTGTTCCTGCATAAAGAAATGCACGTGGCCTTAATGAAATGGTAAAATTCTGTTGAACAGTAGGATCTGGAATATTCTCCCCTCCTCTCAGAAATGCACAATGTAGATCATTGGCAGATAAATTGTGCCCGCCTTTGCGGAAGTCGCTGAGTGGGTTTCAAGTGTTCTGTGATCTGGCCTTCAGATACCTGTTTGGCGCACTTGGGGCAGGAGGGTCTCTAAATTCCTGTAGAGGAGGCTGTAGGTCTACTGTCATTAGCAAAGATTTTCCGAACTCTGCTCTTCGCCTTGCCTCCTCATTCCTCTGACGGCAGGAATGTGTGCCAAGATTACTTCTTCCCCTTTCACCAATTCCTTCTTGCATACGTGCCTCAGTTTTCATTGGCCATTTCAGTCCAAATCTCTTCTTCTTTTCAAAAGATGAAGAAAAAGCTTGCTGTAAGTCTCTGCTTGCATTTACTGTTGGGAAAATAAGAAGCTCTTCCATAAAGGGGTGAGCCACATGGACAGACTCTGAGGTTGATCACGTGGGCAAAATCAGAAAGCTGTCCAGAAACTACCAACAGTGAAAGATGTCATCAGTGAAAGAACTTTGTAAGAATTCAAGTAACATTTCTCAAATTGCTTTGCACTTTGTTCCTGTTGGGTTTTTTCCCTACTTTGACTAATTATGAAAATATTAGCAAACCACTGATTTCCCCAATTCTGTTTTTTTTTAAGTCAGGCTAGAAAACGTTAATGACATATTGATATTTAAATTATAGAAGTATAAAGCCATTAGAGTGTATTAACCTGTCCTGATATATCAACCTTCCAAAATCCAAACCTTGAAGTTTGTATTTTGATTGAGAGAAGTGGTTGGCATTTTCTTTCCTGCAAAGGGCCAGATAATAGATATTTTAGGCCTTGTGGACCATCTGGTCTCTGTTGCAATGACTCTGCTGTTGTACCTGGGAAAGCAGCTGTGTACAATGAGTGGGTGGAGCTGTGTGGGAGTCTGTTAAAGACGCTAGTTTTCTGACTTCTGGTTTAAACCATGGAAGTATCACTGAAAATCTTTGGTCATTGAAAGAATTTCCATCTACTCAAGAAGAAATTATCAGTTCCAAAGGTAATGGTGTTGGGTGATTAATCTGTAACATGGTGCTGAGCCATCTTCTAATGCTTATCAGGATAAGACATGCCACGTAAGGCACGAAGATAGTGATGATCCAATTGCTCTCTCTCCCATGTGGATAGATTCCTTATATTTGAAGAACTGTGTGTTAAGACTGTCATTCTTAATTCCAAAGTTGTTATTCTATTCTTTGAAAAACCTTAAGTGCTCTTTTGCAGTAAGCTGGGGACTTGGTTTCAAACTTAAGTTCCAACTCTGTTGAGTGATGGAAGATCTTGATTCACATACAAATAATTGAAAATTCTAAGCTTTTTATTTTAACCAGTTTCTGGATATAGTCAAATAATGGAATTTATTTCTTTAAACATTTCCATTTCTTAAAATGGAAAACAATACACAAAAAAGTAAAAAGAATATAATGACAAACTTCAATGTATGCATTCAAACCTTTAACTTTGTGCTGTTCTTGGTTTATCTAAACCCATCCTTTTTTGGGAAGAGGCTGGGGCATTTTATAGCAAATGCAAGACCTAGTATCATTGTACTGGTAAACATTTCAGTGCTTATCTAATAGAAAAGATTTTACTTACAATGAAAAAAACAATAATTCCTAATTAACATCTAATATCCAGTTAATTTTCAGTTGTCCTGATTCCCTAGGCATATTCTTACAAAGACAAAATGGTCTTTGAGTTGGGCTCCAAATAAGAAGCAGATCTGTATTTTGTTGATATGTCTATTTATCAGAGAGAGTGAAAGTGAGTGAGCGAGAGAGAGACATAACATTTCCTATCCACTGGTGCCCTCCACAAATGCTCACAACAGACCCTGGTTGTAGCTGGAAGCTGGGAGCTGGCAGCTGAAATCTGGTGTCCCATGTGGGCAGCAGTAACCCAATGACTTAATTCATCACTGCTGCCTCCCAGGGTGTGAATTAGCACGAAGCTGGAATCGAGAGGAGCCAGGACTTCGAACCCAGGTACTCTGATGTGGCATGCGTTATATTAAACAGTGTCTTAATATCTAGGCCAAACATCTACCACTGATAATAAACTTTTAGCAGCTTGCCTTGCACACTTAATATTCTTTTAAACTGATCATAGAAACACCAAACTATCAAGAATAGAATGCTTTCCAAATATATGGTTGCATTTGTGTACTTACTGTTGCTCTTCTTTGCCAAGATGGCAGCTTGTTCCAAATTGAAATGTTTGAGCCCTGCCTGGCATTTGAGTGCAGCACAAGTTTGCTGCAGTTCTTCCCTTACTTGTACCATTTTGCATGAGTGATTATTCACATATCTGAATTAACCGCTTTTTCCCAAACAAAATAAAGCTACAGTCTTCCTAATCATGACATAGTTACAAGAAGTTCAAGAATGTATCTAGAGATGCTGGGAGAAGCTTCATTTTGAGATCTACATGAAACTCAGTGAATCTGATAACAGAAGTTAGCATATTGGGGTCTGACATAGTGGTTCAGTGGATTAAGCCTCTGCCTGCAATGCCAACATCCCATATCAGAGTGCAAGTTTGAGTCCTGTCTAATCTGCCTTGGATCCAGCTCTCTGCTTGGCAAAGCAGTGGAAGATGGCCCAAGTACCTGGGTCCTTGCCAACCATGAGGGAGACCAGGAAGGAGTTCCAGTATCCTGACTTTGGCCTGTCCCCAGCCCCGGCTGTAGCAGCCATTTGGGGAGTGAACCAGCAGATGGAAGATCTCTTTATCTCTATCTGTGTTCCTGTCTATCTGTGTCCCTCTGTCTCTCTTTGTCACTCTGCTTTCAAATCTTAAAAATGAAGTTAGTTTACTGGTGGTTGCCAAAGTTGTACAATTTGTGTTTTTTGGAAAACACTGGTATAATGGGGAACAAGTAGGTTCTGGTGTTAGAGAGACTGGGATTTACAGTTTAGCTTTGTGAATCACCCATGAATATCATTGTGCAAAGGGCCCCACCTCTCTGAGTGTCACTTTGTGCATGTGTAAAGAAGGGGGGATTAGAATTTGCTTTTCACTGTCACTGTGATATTTAGTGACAGTTTCCATGGTAGATACTGGTCCACAGTAGCATACAACAATAGATTCTCTTATTTTATTTTATTTTATTTTTTTAAAGATTTATTTATTTATTTGAAAGTCAGAATTACACAGAGAGAGGAGAGGCAGAGACAGAGAGAGAGAGGTCCTCCATCCGCTGGTCCACTCCCAAATTGGCCGCAAAGGCCAGAGCTGTGTCGATCCGAAGCCAGGAGCCAGGAGCTTCTTCCGGGTCTCCCATACGGGTGCAGGGACCCAAGCACTTGGGTCATCTTCCACTGCTATCCCAGGCCACAGCAGAGAGCTGGATCGGTAGTGGAGCAGCATCCTACATGGGGTGCCAGTGCCTCTGGCCAGGGCGTTAACCCGCTGCTCCACAGCGCCGGCCCTAAGATTCTCTTTTAAAGCATGACCAGGTGACTAGTCAGTGTGGGGAGCAACTCGGACTAGACTAAGTTACTGGAACTAAGACTTATTCTATGCATCTGCTCTCCCACAATATGGCGCTGGGAGAGGAGTAAACAACTTTTACACAGCTGCCTCCAGTTCGACCAATAACCTGCAGGAACTGATCCTGCTCCTGATTGGAGGAGAGCAGCGTACTCGGCGTGTGGGTAGCAGAGTTGGGATTGGTGGAAGAGGACTATAAAGGAGGAGAGAGACAACATGCACCAGGAACATCTATCTGAAGGAACACCTGAGTAGCCCCCAAGAGAGCCGGCCGGTGGTGTGCCGCTCCCCCGCGGAAGTGGGGAAAGTGGCAGGGGGAACCGCCCTTCCACAGAGGTGGAAGGATCAGCAGCCAACCCGGGAAGAACCAGCAGCAAACCCGGGGAGGGCTGAGCAGACAAAAGAACAGCGCAGGGTCCTGTGTCGTTCCTCCACGAAGAGGGGGAGCGACAGTCAGGACCGTTGAGAAAATGTTTGTTTTCAGTTTGTACACCCAGCATACCTCTGAGAACTCAAATGTAGTCAGGCAAGAAATAGGCATTTCCTTCAGTCATTCTCACCTTTCACACCGAGATAACCCACTGTCCCTCCTCACTGCTCCATTTTCCATCTTCTCTTAGGATCCTGGGGGACTCTCTCATCAGGTTATCTGCTTTCTGAGAAGAACCCACCATGAAATCCATGTGGCTCCTTTGAGTGTGCTTCTCTGATGCTGGGATCTTGGGCTTCCCCTCTCTCGCAGATCCTTGTGTGTTCTAGAGCAGCAACTGGGCCTTCTGCTCCTAAGAACCATTGACTTCTTTGGCTGCCTGGGGTAGCTTCTTCGTGCTGTGGGAGAAATCCCTCTTTCCCAAACTGTCTTCCTTCAGTATGTGAAGTTCATGGAAAATACATCTTACGAAAGAAATTATGCATGAAATAAAAAAATTCACCAAAATAAACTTTTAATTCCACTTTCCCTGAACTTTTTGAAGTGTTTTCATACTTAGGTCTATCAAATTCTATTTTCCTCAGTAGTAGCTTTTTGAATCCCCAAACCCAAAAAGATACGCAAAAGCTCTGTTTCTGGCAGGCCCAGCCTGTGGGCGTGCTGTTGGGTGAACAGATGACAGTGCCTTTGGGTGAAGAAAGAGGCATTTCTTCCAAGGGACAGATATGTATCCTCATGCCCAGGATGTGCAGTTTGGCCAACAAGGGTTGTGGCAGTGCAAACAATCACCCTCTGCAAAGTTCGCCTGTGGTCACAGTGGCTCAGGATTTGCTACCAGCTTAGATCAGAGAAAAGAAATACAAAAATAAACTAGGTAACAAAAGTTAATGCCTGAAAACAGTATATCACT